TTGCTTGCTGATTGATTATGGGTTTTAGAACTCTATATTTATTTACAAAGTTTATTATAATCTAAATGTCCACAATATATCACCTTAATCATTTATAATATTTTGTACCTAGTGTGAGTACTCAGAAAATTGCTTAGACATCACACTTCATGGGGTTGATTCTTGAAATGCAGTAGATAGCTACAGCATCTCCTGGTATGTTACAAATAATACTGAAACTGTTTTTTATGGCTTTTTATAACCTGCAATTGACTACATTCCACATGTTTCTTGTTCATGACAGTATTTTAATATCCAGTAGGTACTTTTACTACTTTGTTATTGACTGATATCTTATCTCCTGTATAACTTATGATTCACTCAACTTTTCAAATCTTTCTCCTAAAAATACTTTAGTTTCACATGTCTGTTTTATGTAATTTAGGAAGGAGTGTACCTACAAATCAGCTAGTCTGCATTTAGATGTGTTTTATTTGTTTATGTAGTAAGTAAATCAGTGTCACCTGCCAGATGTATTTCAGGCTTTGTAATGAAAGTTGTATAACATCTCTTTTTACTACACAACCTCAGTATAATAAGGTAGTAGATTACTAAGAAAGAGGGTAAACAATGTAACCATTCCTTGTTTAATTTTTTGTAGATTAAATAATACATCTCCTGAATATTTAATTCTCCATCATGTAGTAAAGGTGGATTAAGATACTCAGAGAAATTAATAATAGCACTTTCACAAATAGCATTTACAAAGCACTCATCATCTGATTTTGATAAATTTATTTCATACATGTGTCATGTGTAGGATAGGAGTATTTGGATAGTGTAAACTTTAAAACTCTCAATCTAGAAAATATAAGCTGATAATTGTGTCTTACTCTGAAAAGAGGAAGGTTTATGCCTATGGAGTCTCAAACATATCGATCATCTAGATTTATTGATTGTGGCACCTCACATTCATTATTTGATTTCTGGAAACACAGATGGTGAAGGACAGAAATAGAGATTATAAGGGGCAAGGAGTTTAGTAAAGACTCAGTCATATAACCTGTAATTTAGAGAGTTAGATCTCAAGTCTATGCAGTTTTTGTTCTCTACTGCTGGTGTCCTCTCCATCATGCTGCTCCATCACTATTGTCTATGCAAATAAGTGCATCAGCACAGGTAGGTGAGCAAAGGTACCAGCACCCTGACATTCTGAGGACTCATTATTTATAATCATAGAAACTCCAGCTATCACTTTAAATAAAAAGATTGTGATTAAAGGTAGGAATCCAGAATCCCAGATCATTCTCCATTGGGTATAGGTGTCCCAGGAGTAGAACAAAGAAATACAGAAGAGAATTGAGATTTTATTAATTTTAAATGGGAAAATCAGTAGATTACAATTAAGTAAAATAGGCAGTAAAGTCGTTAGAGATGAAAAAACATGAAGTATAACTTACTGTAAATAAATAAGAGTAGACCAGTGTGTTAATTGGTGATAACTGTGCACCATTCAGTGGCTGTATCAATAATACTCCAGTATGAAAGGTACTGTATCCTGCCATGATAAGTAAAGGGCAGTCAGTCAGCTGTTGATTGCAAAGAAAGATTTCTGTTTTCCTCTCATTGTACTGAAGTCTCTTAAGTCTATCAGAGTAATTGTTCTTTATAATCAAAGAGCATGCTGTCCCTATAAAGAAGGACCTTTCATCTCCTGTTTTGTTGGGAATTTGGGCAAGAAAAAGAATGGAGCAAATAGATCTTATTGCAGTTGGGAAATTGAAAGGGTAATGAAACAATGTAAATAATTGTAGTTTTATAACTTCCTGAAATGAAGAAAATTCACAATATTATGAATTTCCTCAGTCTCTCACTGAAGAGTCCCAACATCATTGGGTGATATAAATGGTATACTCATTTTCATTACTAAAAGATTTCTGATTATCAGGAGAGAAATACACTATAGATGCTATGATTTGGAGTTATTTTTGAGACAGGGTTCTCTATGTAGCTAGGACTGTCCTAGAACTCTCTATATGGACTATGGTGGCATCAAACTCTGAGATCTTCTGCCTCCAGAGTGCTAGTATTAAAGGTATATGGATCTATGCCCAGATTAATTTAGAGCAGTTTTTGATTACAAGAAGCAGCTAATGAATTGAAACAGCTAGAAAACTCTTGGAAATGTAAAACTAGAAACTATCACCCCTAGGATAGCAGTTTGACTGAGAAATTTCAATATCATGAAGATAGATATTGAAGGGAAACGCTAATTAGTTCAATACTAGAGGTGGAAGCTTGGTATTCATACTATGAGACACAACTCCTGTTATGTTTGGGTAATAAAATTTTATTTATTAATGGGAATTCTAACAAAACATTATCAGCAATCATATGCTCTAGTCAAAAACATGTTAATTTCTCATGTAACTAAGTATTTTCTAGAGAGTTAAGGAAGCTCAGAACATTAACCATGGCTGTTCTTTATGCAATTGTTCACATAAGTTGTTGACAGTTTTGAATGTTAATAGAATGAGACTTTGAGTATGAATTTGGATGCTGTTAGGCTAAGTTGGTTATTCACGGAAAGTTGATGATTTACACGTTACATTTCTTCTTTGTCAAATGGAGGTAACACTGTTTAACCTTATAGAATTAAAAAAAATACAAAAACAATAAAAACAAAAATAAAAAAACAATAACACAGAGAACACTTAACAAGCATTCAAGGCACCTGACGTCATTAAAATTTTTGCATTATGTATGTGAGCTTTTTCTACTAATTATTATTGTATGTTCACCATATTTTAGTAATTTTATTATTTTATGTATTTTATTAGACATATACTCTCAGGGGGGACATTTTGGAAATGAGAAAGCATAAAGATCCATTATTCTTTTCCTTGCTTCTGAAGTTATTATTGAAGTTCACAGGTGACTGTTCTTTCATGAAAGAGAATGCAGGGTATCCATTTGTGTCAGGGACCCATATGTATAGTGCGATATGGTGTTGAATATGGGAAACATTTGTTGCATCACAAAGTCTTTGGATGCATCACTGAGTAGTGAGTGCCTCCATAGTTCCTTAACCTCAGTCCAGGAAGATGATATCACGTATAGTATTTTGACAGTATCCACTAGTTTTCCACCACTAGTTTGTGGGGAGACTAATATTGGATAGTAGGTGCAATGACTCCTTGATCATATTCTATGCCTTAAAGAAAATAGAAAGTTTTATTAGTTCTTAAAATCTTGATTCAATGGAAACTAGATATATATATAGAGAGAGAGCATGTTATAATTTTGGAATTATCCATCTCCTTTGAGTGATGCAGAATTCAGTCTTTGTTTCCTACTTTAAGACATGGATTTACACTTATTCTAGTACATTATTTTTTACTATTTAACAATATGATGGTTTGATTACAATTGAAACAATCTATTGATACTTATTGCTATCTAAATTTTATAAAGAGTAAATATACTAGACATGTATTCTAGGTTTTACTTTTTACTTATGGTGCCATATCAATCTCCATTGCTATTTGAAAGAATATATTGGATTTTTCATTTAAATTATAAGCTATTAAGTTATTATATTGATCCAATGTGGTGCTAGAAAACATGCTATCTCTGGTGTTCTTGTGTTTATTCATCATCAAAATCATTATTATTATTATTTATTTGTTTTTACTGATAACTAAAATGTTAAACTATGTATTCTAAGGAGCTAGTGAGTGAAAACTTGATTCATACACATTCTATAATATATAAATGAGGTTAACATATATATCCTTTCACAGTTTGCTATTCATTATTTGGAAAACAGGCAGAATGCTTTATTTCAGGTCATGCAGATATTCAGTACATAATAGTTATATATTCTCAACCTATTGTAGGGTAGTTACGATGCTGTGATTCTCAGTTACAGGCTTGTACTCTTCTGGAAGGTGTTGCCATTTTATCAAGGCCTTCATGCCAACTTTACAATCTGGTTCTTCAATTACTAAAATTCTTAAGTATTGAACAGATGAATATTTTATAGTTCTTAATTCTCTAAAACTAGGGTGATACTAAAATCCTACTGGCTATATCATAATATCCCTAATAACTGTTGATTATTTTTCATCAGCTTTTTAAAAAAATTCTTCCTAAATTAACACAGTGAAGAGATACTCTGTAGTTTAAAAATGTGATATTTTCTCCAGAAAATATAAGTTTAATTATAATAAATAATAAACATAAATACCTATTAAGGGTATGTTGTAATTAACCAATAAGTGCTATGAAATGTGACCAAAGTTATTGGATAATACAGCACTTGTCTCTATCTAGGTCCTTAGGAACTAGCATACAATATTCAGACGCAACATGATTATTTTTATTTATTCAAAAAAATTTAGTTTTCATTTTATATTCCTACATCAGTTCCCCCTCCCTCACCTTCTCCTGCTCCCTGCCTCCTCCCCTTCCCAATCCCTATCCACTCCACGTAGGGTATAAGGCAATCTATGTAGACTATAAAAAGTCTGGCATACCAAGTTGAGGCAGGAGCAAACCCTGCCCCATGTATCAAGGATGAGCAAGGTATTCCACCGTGGGGAAGGAGCTCAAAAATCCTGGTACCACTGTCAGGGCCTTCCTCAACAGATCAAGTCACATAACTGCCACCCATATTCAGAGGGTCTTGTTTGGTCTCATGCAGGATCCCCAGCTGTCAGTTCATAGTCCATGAGCTCCCATTAGCTATGGTTAGCTGTGTCTGTAGTTTTCCCCATTCTGGTCTCAAACCCCCTTGTAATTATGGTCCCTCTTGCCTCTCTTCAGCTGAACTCCAGAAGCTCAGCCCAGTGCTTGGCTAAGTAGACACAATATTCTGAACATGCTATCAGATGCATTATTTTTAAAAATGATCTCAAATTTTACTGTTTTTTACAATTTATGTTTTAAATATATAATTATGTCTGTTCAATGAATTCATCTAAATTAATGCAACACTCTTCTCTTATGTTGCAGCACAGATGATCAGAAACCTGAAAGGAGTCCAAGACAAAAATGACACAGAAGTGACAGAGTTTATCCTCATGGGGCTCTCAGACAATGCAGACCTGCAGGGTGTCCTCTTTGCATTGTTTCTGGTGATCTACATGATGACCCTGGTGGGTAACTTGGGCATGATAGCACTGATTAAGATTGACCGCTGTCTGCACACACCTATGTACTTCTTTCTCAGCAGTCTTTCCTTTGTTGATGCTTCTTCCTCTTCTACTATCACTCCTAAGATGCTGGTGAACCTCATAGCTGAGGATAAGAGCATTTCTTTCAATGGGTGTGCAGTCCAGTTCTTCTTCTTTGGCTCCTTCTTGGGAACTGAATGCTTCCTGCTAGCCATGATGGCATATGACCGCTATGCAGCCATATGGAGTCCCCTGCTGTACCCAGTTCTCATGTCTGGGAGAATTTGTTTCATGTTGGTGACTACTTCATTCCTAGCAGGCTTTGGCAATGCAGCCATCCACACAGGGATGACTTTCAGATTGTCCTTTTGTGGTTCTAATAAAGTCAACCATTTCTATTGTGACACCCCACCCCTGCTCAAGCTCTCTTGCTCTGACATTCACATCAATGGCATTGTGATCATGGTTTTCTCCAGTTTTACTGTTCTCAGTTGTGTTCTGATGGTTCTCATTTCCTACCTCTGCATCCTCATTGCCATATTGAAGATGCCTTCTGCAGAAGGAAGACACAAAGCCTTCTCCACCTGTGCCTCCCACCTCATGGCTGTCACCATTTTCTTTGGTTCAATTCTGTTTATGTACTTGCGACCTACTACTAGTTACTCGATGGAACAGGACAAGATTGACTCTGTGTTTTATACAGTAGTGATTCCCATGCTGAATCCTCTCATATACAGTTTAAAAAATAAAGATGTGAAAGGAGCAGTGAAAAAAATATTACAGAAACATGTGCTATAAGGCTATGCTCTACATGCTTGTGTTATGCAGGGTATCATAGATTTTAAAACCTGCCATCTGAGTTTTAAGTTGTTTCTATATATTAAAGTTAATGTGTTAAAATTACAGATACTTCTTAATCTCCCTCATGTCAAAAAGTTGTCTATTGGATACATCTGATAAATATATATTATAGGTAAAGTGTCTGTACTGTCTATTAGAATCAGAAATCTTGCCAAGATAATTTTTTTCAGTATGATCAATGTCGTATATAGAAATTAGCTATGCATTTAGAGTTGCCAAAGCATCAGGTATATGATAAATCAATATTTCCACTATGATAGGCACATTTGACTAATTTGTCAGAAATGCATTACCAATATCATGCTCATTATATATACAATATATAATACAAAAATCTTACCAGGTATTATAGAATGTGAACAGCAGCAATAGCATGAAAATATTCGGTTCTTTTTGAATTATTTGAAACATGTTGAAGGCACAATTCAAAGTATTTCAATGCTTTATTTCTATTCCTTCTAGAATGGCCTGAAGTTGTTATTAAACATTTGTTAATTTAGGTATGTATTTTATGTGCTTTATTGGGGTAGGAGAAAATCAATTTTGGAGCAGATGTGAAAACTAGTATTTGTAGAAGTAGACACTGTGAGATTTTGAACCAAAGAAATGTCTTTTGCTTGCTTCTTTCCACTATATCAACTGCCTCAGATCATGAAAAAAAACAGAAAACAAAAAACCCAAAATGTTGCTATGCTGTATAATCCAAATGCTGCCATTGTATCTCTGAGAATAAATTTAGGGAAGACTGATGACAATTTATCTCTTCCAGACAATCTTTCACTGTCTTCTAAACTCTCTTAATGTCTAGTTTTAACAATTGGACAAGATTTCCTTCTTTACTTCAATAAACAGTAAAGAGTTATATCACATTTATTTTCAGAGCATCACAGACAATTCTCACAGCAGAAAATGAATGATTCTTGGTAATTTTTTTATACTTTATTTCCTTAACTTTGAGATGATTCATGATATTATTAGAATTACACTCATTCTCTTATAATTAAAATCAACCAGAGCTACAGTATCTGGTTTTATGATATTTCTAGTATTTCATATAAGAAAGACCACTGACTTGAACTTTTACAGGTTTTGGGGTACAGACACAGCCACTGTGAATTCATTTCTGCAGCAGTTCTAATATGTCCAACAAAATATATTTTGCTGCAGATTCTCAGGACCTCTGACTCTTGGAATCTCTCATCCCCTTCTCCAGTGATGCCTGATTCTTGAAGGGACTGACTGTGAAATAGACATTCCATTTATAGTAACATCCACAATATCTTATTCTCACATGTTGACCAGTTGAGAGTCTCTATTAGTGTCCACCTAGCTCAAAGAGAAGCTTCTCTGATAAGGATTGAGTCATTCAATATAAGAATGAGTATAATGGTAAGTACTTAGGGAGAACTTTAACAATATGCTCATTTAGCAGAGAAATAGTATCAGGTTATGTCCTAGGCTTATGTGTTTGTCAGTCATGGGTTACTGGTGCCATAAGCAGTAGCCATTTTGTGAAGAAGGCTCTTAATCAGAAAGCGTTTGTTTTCTGAAAGAACATTCATGTCACTATTCACAAAAAAATAATTTCCTGTGCTCTGGATGATTACAATTTCTTTGTGCCATTTTATTTAAGTTTCTTGTGGCAAACAATATTAGTGTTGTTTTAAAGAGAAGAAATATAATTTGCAAATGATTAGCTTTCTTCTTCTCACCTTAATACTAAATATCCAATGGATAATTTGATTTGTTTGACTCTGAGGAAGCAAAATTGACTTTTACAGCAAAATTGTATGAATAGAATTACTTTGGAAAAACAAAAATTAAATCATAGAGTTCATTGAAATTCAAAAAATGAGGAACAAGTGCAGGATTGTATTTATACTTTATTCATTCCGTGACCTGTCCTCAAAACTGCCTTATTATACTTTATGCCCCAATCCCATTGGATGATTTCTTCTTAATATAAACAGAGAAAAATGAGAGATTCCAGGCAGAGTCTCTTTTACTTTTGTATACTAAATAAATAAAACATCATCTCACTATATTTCCTTGTCTTTTATCATTGAAATTAATAGGTAAATAAATATACACACAGTGAGAGAAAAAGACAGAGAGAGAGACAGAGAAAAAGAGTTGTTTACACATGTTAGGAAGATTTTGCCCTCATAGGTAAATACAACTCCTCAAAACATATAATTAAGATTATTCTCTTGAGAATCAAAGAACATTTAAATTGGATCTTTAAACTTGTGCTGGACACTTAGGGAATTATACTAAGAAAATACATTATAAATCTTCCTACTTTGTATGACATGCAAGAATTCAATATTTACAGGTAGGTTAAATCTGGTATTTGATAACTAAAATATATTTGTGTGTTGTGTATAGATTGGTATCTATCATTGTGGAAAAAATATATTGTCTGTTGATCTTGAAAACATTGTACATATGTCAATATATCTCTAAAGAATCCATTATTATATGTGTGTGTAAGAAACAGGTAACAATAGTTTTAAATAAAGACAATTTTATCATGATATCACAAATACATAGAAATCCTAAATGATAGATCATACTGGCATTGACAACATGATTAAGAATCTGTGCTTTCCCAAACAAATGAGCTTATGAATGGGTTAGAATATAAGAACATTTACACACACACACACACACACACACACACACACACACACACACACACACACAATTTCACACTGTAAAGATGGGTCTTATTCTAGAGACTTGAATATCCCTTTGACTGTTCAAATATCCCGTCAGGAAAGGTTTATTTTATATTCCATCTGAAACCTTTCCACCTTCGTTTATATATAATAACTTGCTTTCATTTGAAAATCTGTTGCATATCTTTCTGTAATAATTAACATCTATTCATTTTGCTCTTCAACATATACTCTGTGATGACTGTGATGTGATGGAGGGCTGTGACGACAAGATGTAATGACTCCTGTAACCTATTTGTTGAGTAATGTAACAAAATGGAGTTTACAGTGCACAGTGCACAGGGCTTAATATATTGATAAATATCCCACATAGAACAATTCTTGGTTTCTTTGGATTATTTCTTTGCTGTTTTTGGTGGTGTTGGTGGGGATTTGGATTTTGGAGCCATGGCTTTGCTATGTTGATTAATTATCCCAAGGCTAGCCAGATATTGCCAATCATCCTTCTCAGGTTACTGAGAATTCAAGCAACTAGCACCATGGTCTATTGAAAATTTGCTTTGACTATGAAAGACGATCATAATTTTTAAGGGAAAAATTTTAGAACTTCATGGACTCTTCATTCTCTTATGGATGATTGTGGGTTGAGAGTTACATGCTTCATTGGATGTTCATATTTTATTATACCTTCTAATACACAGGATATGGTAACTTCAGAAACATATTTCTTCATTTCCCATATGCTTGATAGAAATGATGAAGTGACATACACTTAACATTTTTCTTTAAGATCAATTATTAAAATATGCAGAAGTTTATTCAAC